GTGGGAGCAGGGTGCTGGGCAGTCTGGAAGCTGATGAGTAACGTCGGGCCCACACACCAGTCAGAGCAGTTGACGCCTTCCTTGGGATTTACAGGTGGGCAAGATGGTCGCCCTGGGTCCCCTGCTGCCTGGACTGGAGAGTTCTCCCTGCACCACACTGGGACCTGACATGGAGAAGGACGGGGAGGAGACAGTGCTGAGCAGCAGGGAGTGACAGGGTTGGGCGCCCCCCAGGCTCAGGGCGACGCTCCACCCCAAGGGCACTTGCACTGCAGGCAGAACAGGCTCCAGCCTCCCGAGCACAGCCAGGCGTCTTCCCTCAGCTCCCAGGCCTCTTCTTCCGGAGAATGTCACAGATGAAGGGGTTCACTTATCTGAGAGCAGGAGAAGCAACCAGGCCTGGCCAGGCTGCAAACCTTGGCCCTGAATTCCTCCACGGAGTCAGGATGCAATGTGGGCATTGTGGGTTCACATAGGGAACATTATCCCTTATTAGTATTAGCATGGGTGGATTTTCTGGAAGGACATATTCTTGAGGCTTTGTTAATGAACGCATTATGGTTCATTCATTTTTTGATATGTGCAGTTAAAACCTTCTATTGTCTTTTACATTTTTTTCATCCCATCAGTAGCATTTCTTTAGTGCTCCCACCCAGTCAGGAAGCAGGAAGTCAGGACAGATGGTCAGAACAGGTAGGGAAGGCCAGGAAGTGGGCAGAGTAGTTTTGGAACAACTAAGGGAGACAAAGTTGTCTGTCAGTTTGTGGTACTGTGGTGGCTTGTGTGTTGCTGTGAGGCTGGAGCCTGTGCCACTGGTGTTTCAAACGCCAGCAGAGCTGCCCATGGTGCACAGGTTTCAGTGGAGCTTCTAGACTGAGACAGACTTGGAAGGAGGAAGAGGCCATCCATTTCTCAAAGAATTGGACAGGAAAAACCTTATGAATAGCAGTGCAACACTGCTGATATATTACTGGGCAACTTTATGAATAGCCCTGAAATGTTGTCAGATACAATGTCAGAAGATGAGCCCCTCAGGTCAGAAGGCACTCAAAATACCACTGAGAAAGAGCTGCATCATCATAATAGAACTGACCTTAATGGCACGGATTAAGGAGAGCTTTTGGGACTTCCGTTTGCTGATGTGGTGTGACTCAAAATGAGAAGAAACAGCCGCAAACATCCATTAATAAGTGGAACATGGAATGAAGTATGAATCTAGGAAAACTGGAAGCTGTCAAAAATGAAAGGGAATGCATGAACATTGGTATCTGAGGCATTAGTGAGCTGAAATGGACCAGTTTTGACCATTTTGAATCAGACAACCATATGATCTACTATGCTGGGTGTTTTGGTTACCTCATGCTGCTCTAACAGAAAATACCACAGATGGGATGCTTGAACAAACAGGAGTTTATTCTCTTACAGTTTGGGAGGCTAGAAGCCCAAGTTCAAAGTGCCAGGCTGGGTGAAAGCCCCTTGACCTTGGGCTTCAGCTCTGCCTCTTGCTTCCAACCCACTGAAGCTAGAGTCATCTATTCAGTCAGCCAGCTGCTGGCTACTGAGGCTGACAAACCCAAGGTCGACAAGTGAAAAGGCACAGTCCCGATATTACCAAACCACACAGCAGGCCATTAAAAGTCCCAAGATTGGCAGAGCATGGCAGGCTGCTGAACAATGACTCAGCTACATGCAGGGTGCAAGGTGCCGTAAGCTGGAGACCTTTCTCAAAGTTGCTTCCTACATATGGGAAGCAGCCCACATCCCTAAGGCAGCTATTCTTCTGCTTCAATAGATCCACCGTGGAGTTGGTCACCAAGCTCACCATGGGGAATACTACATCCAGCTGCCCAGCCACTCAACCAGGCCCAGCCAAGTTGACACACAAACTCAACCACCACAATGCCACCCCTTGTCAACTTGGCACCTGTACAGAGCTTCACTGGGTGACTCCAGTCCCTTAGTTCCTGAGTGGCGACCTCACCCCCTTGGCCTGGTGGGCCCTGTTCCTCTACCTCTTGGGCATGGCAGCCCTCCCCCTCACTCTTGGACACCAGCTATGGCTCCATCCCACTGGCTCACATGAAAAAGCAACTCCACACCCCAGAACCAAGTTGGTGAAGGTCTGGTTCTTTGAAACCTATGGGGCTGTGTTAGTTCCACCCCAAAAGGGCACAGTCCTACCCTTGAGGCTGAGGCAGCTCTGCTTCCAGTTTCCTTGGTCTCTCTGCTTCTGCCAATTAATGCCCGAGGGCAACCTACACCACCACAAATCTTCCTGCCCAAAGGACACTTAGATTTCTTGCTCCATGGGCTGGCCAACCTGCTACTCCATCTCATGCTGGTCTCTTCTACCAATTAGTGCTCAAAGGCAACCCACTCCATGAGGAAGCCGCCTACACAATGGCATCCAGCTTTCTCCTCTATGGGCTAATAAGGCTGTCGCTGTCTCATGCCAGGTCCCTTGGCTCTGCTACTGCTGCTTATCATGCTGGTCTCTTGGCTCTGCTGCTGCCAGGGTCACTCATGTCAGTCTCTCAGCTTTGCTGCTGCTGGGGTCTCTCCACTGTGATCTCAGATCAAGGATGCACTCCACTCTTGTTTCCACATTTTAGATATCTGTCAGAGCAGCAGAGACCAACACTGAGTCCACGATATGGAACCATTCCTTAGGGTCATCTGCCAGCAACCTAGTGGCAAGTTGATTATACTGGACCACTTCCATCATAGAAAGGATGGTGTTTTGTTCTTACTGGAATAGAATGGATATGATTTTGCCTTCCCTGCATGCAATGCTTCTGCCAAAACTACCACACTGGGAATGACAAGTTGAAGAGGAATGATGTGGCATTCATTAGCACAAAGAATGTTTCAAGATCTCTTCTGAAGTACAATGCTGTCAGTGATAGGATTATCTATACACCTACAAGGAACGCCAGTTAATACTACTATTATTCAAATTTATGCACCAACCACCAAAGCCAAACATGAGGAAATTTGAAGAATTTTACCGACTTCAGAAGTCTGAAATTGACTGAACATGCAATCAAGATGTGCTGATTATCACTGGTGATTGGAATGCAAAAGGTGGAAACAAAGAAGAATCACCAGTAGTTGGAAAATTTGGCCTTGGAGATAGAAATAACACTGGAGATCGCATGATAGAATTTTGCAAGACCAACAACTTTTTCATTGCAAATACCTGTTTTCAACAAGACAAATGGCAACTATACATGTGGACTTCACCACAGGTACACAGGAATCAGAATGACTACATCTGTGGCAAGAGACGATGTGGAAAAGCTCAATATCTTCAGCCACTACAAAGCCAGGAGCTGATTGTGAAACAGACCATCAACTGCTCATATGCAAGTTAAAGTTGAAATCAGAGACAATTAAAACAAGTCTATGAGTGCCAAAATATGACCTTGAATATATCCCTCCTGAATTTAGAGACCATCTGAAGAATAGATTTGATGCATTGAACACCAATGACCAAAAACCAGAGGAATTGTGGGATGACATCAAGAACATCATCCATGAAGAAAGCAATAGGTCATTAAAAAGACAGGAAAGGAAGACAAGACCAAAATGGATGTCAGAAGAGACTCTGAAACTTGCCCTTGAGCTAAGAGTAGCTAAAGCAAATGGAAGAAAAATGACAAGATAACAGGTTTCAAATATAAGATTTCAAAGAGCAGCCCAAGAAGACAAAGTCAGTTATTACAATGAAATGTGCAAAAAAAAAAGAGAGAGAGAGAGAGAGAAGAACATGCTCGGCATTTCTCAAGCTGAAAGAACTGAAGAAAAAATTCCAGTCTCGAGTTGCAATATTAAAAGATTCTATGGGCAAAATATAGAATGATACAGGAAACATCAAAAGAAAATGGAAGGAATACACAGGATCCCTGTACCAAAAAGAATTGGTCAAGAACCAATGGTACTGAAGGAAGAAGTCAAAGCTGCACTGAAGGAAGTGGCAGAAAACAAGGTTCCAGAAATTGACAGAATACCCAATTGAGATGTTTCAACAAACAGATGCCACACTGGAGGCACTCACTCAGCTATGCCAAGAGATCTGGAAGGCAGCTTCCTGGCCAGCTGACTGGAAGAGATTCATATTTGTACCCATTCCAAAGAAAGGTGATCCCACAGAATGTGGAAATTATTGAACAATATCACTGATATTGCATGCAGGTAAAATCTTACTGAAGATAATTCAAAAGTGGTTGCAGCAGTGTATTGACAGTGAACATCCAGAAATACAAGCTAGATTCAGAAGAGGACATGGAATGAGGGATATCATTGCTGATGTCAGGTGGATCTTGGCTCAAAGCAAAGAATACCAGAAAGATGTTTCCCTGTGTTTTATTGACTGTGCAAAAGCATTCAACTGTATGGATCATAACAAATTGTGGACACTTAATTGTGCTCTGCACGTGTTTGGCCTAACACAGTGGTTGGGGTGTTTCTCTGCTGCTAACACTGCATGGGGCCCTGCCTGTCTGAGTGTCCCAGCACTGCTGTAGCAGAAGCGCCCCACGTGGGGGCTTGCAGGGATGGGCATGTTCTCACAGTTCAGGAGGCTGCCAGTCCGAATCCAGGGCCTGGATCTAGGGGCGGTTCATGCTGCCGATGGGGGTGGGTCCTTTCTCAGCAAATCCAGCCCTCGTGTCCATCAGGGTCCTCAGGTACGCAGCTGCTGTTGTAGTTGTCAGGTGCTGTAAAGTCAGCCCCGACTCATAGCGACCCCATGTACAACAGAATGAAACACTGCCCAGTCCTGCGAGCCCATTGTTGCAGCCACTGTGTCAGTCCATCTTATTGAGGGCCTCTGCTTTTCCACTGACCCTCCACTTTACTGAGCATGACACCCTTCTCCAGGACATGGTCCCAGGCAGCATGACCGAAGTAGGTGAGATGAAGTCTGGCCATTCTTGCTTCTAAGGAGCATTCCGGCTGTACTTATTCCAGGACAGATTTGTTCATTCTTTGGGCAGGCCATGGTACTTTCAGTATTCCTTCTTTGCCAATACCACAACTCAAAAGCATCAACTCTTCTTCAGTCTTCCTTATTCGTTGTCTAGCTCTCACATGCATATGAGGCCATTGAAAATACGATGGCTTGGGGTGGATGCACTTTAGTCTTCAAAGAGATATCTTTACCCTTCAGCTCTTTAAATAGATCTTTTGCAGCAGATTTGCCCAATGCAATAGGTCATCTGATGTCCTGACTGCTGCTTCCATGGGTATCGATTGCAGAACCGAATAATATAAAATCTTTGGCAACCTCAATCTTTTCTCCATTTATCATGATGTTGCTTATTGGTCCAGTTGTGAGAATTTTTGTTTTGTTTATGTTGAGATGTAATCCATACTGCAGACTGTGGTCTTTAATCTTCATCAGTAAGTGCTTCAAGTCATCTTTATTTTCAGCAAGCAAAGTTGTGTCATCTGCATGTCGCAGGTTGTTAATGATTCTTCCTCCAATCCTGATGCTGTGTTCTTCTCCATATAGTCCAGCTTCTTGGATTATTTGCTCAGCATACAGATTGAATAAGTATGGTGAAAGGATACAACCATGACACACTCCCTACTTGATTTTAAACCATGGAGTATCCCCTTGTTTTGTTTGAACGACAACATCCTGGTCTGTGTACAGGTTCCTCATGAGCACAATTAAGTGTTCTGGAATTCCCATTCTTTTCAATGTTATCCATAATTTGCTATGATCCACACAGTTGAATGCCTTTGCAAAGTCAATAAAACACAAGTAAACATCTTTCTGATATTCTTTGCTTCTAGCCAAGATCCATCTGACATCACCAATGATATCCCTCGTTCCACATCCTCTTCTGAATCCAGCTTGCATTTCTACAAGTTCCCCATCAATATACTACCATCACCATTTTTGAAGTATCTTCAGTGGTGGTGGGGGGCTGGAGGCAGAGCCAATAGGGCCCACAGGACCCTCCTTCATTCATCCCTTCACTCATTCAGTGTACATGGTGCACCTACTGCATACCAGGCCTGCGTGGGCCTAGGACACAGCCTACTCCGTGGGGCTGTGGGGGGAGGAGCCATTCAAACAATGATCTCACAGAGAGATTGTCCCTTGACGCTGCCTTTGCCCCAGCTGTGCCCCCTCCCCTCCCCTCATGGCCTCCTCCATCCCACCCCTGCCTGGCCCTTGGGGCCCTTCCCAGCCCTGCAAGCTCAGCACAGGGGCAGAGGTTTCTGTCCACTGACTGGATCCCAGAGTGCAGAACAATGCACACAGTTGGTACTCCATAAGTGCTTTATGAATGAATGAATGAAATGGTGAGGAAGGCTGCAAGCAGGAGGCCCAGGCACTGAGACCAAGGTGGGAGGGTCAATCCAGGAAGCCTCCCAGGAGGAGGTGGTCCCTGAAGAAGAGACTGAAGGGGAACCAGCATAAGCCCAGGTGAGCGAGGGTCCTGTGCAAAGGCTAGTGGAGGGACGACTTGTGGGTTTGAGGCCTTGCTGTTGTGAGAGCTGGGTGGGCACAAGGACCTGGGGATAGGGTCTCCTCCAGCCTCAGCTACCCCAACAACAGCAGCCATTACCACACAGTACACGGTGCCTGGCCATCGGCTGAGGCCACCGGGGCGCCCATATGCCAACACCCTGGGTCCTACAGGAGCTGTCACCATGGTCACCTTCCTATGCACATTTGTCCCTACCACAGCACATACCTGCCTCGACCCCTGCACTAGGCACCACTGTCCAGCTGCAGAGGGACTTCCCTGAGGGGCGTGACTGCCCCAGAGCAGAAAGACCAGAGGCAGTATGAGGAGGGTGGCTGGCCAGCTGTGCTCAAATCCCCCCTCCTCACTGGCCTGCCTCAGTCTCCCCATCTGGAAGGCAGCAGAGCCATGGGCAGGCTTGGTACCACCCCAGGGTCCCTCTCACTCCACAAAGAGGTGTGGGTGACCTGCCCAGACCCTATTCCAGGGGGCCCACCCAGAATCCAGTGATCCAGATATACAGCAGGAAGCCAATAAACACCTCTAGTAATAGTTAAAGCATTCACCTGCCATCCAAAATGCGGGCAGATTGAACCCACCAGACATCCAGCAGGAGAAAAATGAGCTAGTTGTTTTGCTGTTATGTGCTGTCAAGTCAGACCCAACTCAAAGTGACCCCTCCTTGGGTTTCCCAGGTGGTATCACTATGGAAGTAGATCACCCAACCTTCCTTTCGAAGAGTGGCTGGTGGGTTTGAACCACCAGGCTTCTGGTTAGCAGTCAAGTGCCTTAAGCACTACGCTACCAGAGCTCCCAGATGAGGGGGTAGGCTTCTATAAAGGTAACAGCCTTGGAAACCCTGTGGTGCAGTTCCACTCTGTCCTCTAGGGGCACTGCGGGTCAGAATTTCCTCCATAGCAGGGGGTTTGGTTTGGGCTTTGCTTCTGTGAAGATTGACAGCCTTGGAGACCCTGTGGGGCAGTTCCACTCTATCCTCTAGGGGCGCTGTGGGTCCAAATTGATTCCAGGCAGTGGGTTTGGCTTTTTTTTTTCTGTGGCTTTTTTTTTCAGTCCCTCTCTCACCAGGTATTTTAAAGAAAATTTCTGGACTCAAGCTGTTTCACCCCAAAACAGCATTTAGACCCACATACACACACCAGCTTCCTTTCCCTAACATAGTCATGTTCCGACCACCTCAGGCCCAGCCTGGGTGAGTAGCCAGCTGTCTCCGCCTGTTCTGGTTACCTAGTGCTGCTCTGACAAGAAATATACCATACACGGGATGGCTTAAACAAACAGGAGTTTGAGCTTGGACTCAAAGCCTCCAAATTGTCAGAATAAAATGCCAGGCTCTAAGTGCTGGGTGAAAGCCCCTCAACCTTGGGGTCCAGCTCTGCCTCCTGTCCCAGGCCCACTGGAGCTAGAGGCGTTTCTTCACTCAGACAGCTGCTGGCTGCTGAGGCTGAGAAGCCCCAAGGTTGACAAATAAAAAGGCACAGTCCCAATGTTACCAAACTACACGGCAGGCCATTCACTTAAGTCCATTGTGAGTCCCAAGGTCAGCAGAGCATGGCAGGCTGCTGAGCAACGACACGGCTCCATGCAGGGTCCAAGTGTGCCATAGGCTAGAGACCATGCCCAAGGCTTCTCCTTATATACAGGAAGCAGACCACATCCCAAAGGCAGCTACTCAGCTGCTTGT